TTTTTATTATTTTATTTTTAAATATCTACACTTTCCAAATTATATCGATAAATTAAGTGTATATATTGTCATTTATATTCATGCAACATTTTCTTAGACTGGCGCCATGTTTGCTTTGACCTGTGGCGTGGCGTTCAGCGGCTTTGCCATCTCCGGCTATAATGTGAACCATTTGGACATAGCGCCTCGGTATGCGAGTATATTGATGGGCTTGTCGAATGGCATTGGCACCTTGGCTGGCATAATCGTGCCCTATGCGCTGGATGGCCTCATTCAGAGGAATGTGAGTGGATTGAGTTGATTGACAGAGCTGTACGATTTGAGCACACTTTATCTATACTTTAACTATAGCCGACTGGCTGCTGGACCACTGTGTTTACCCTGGCCGCCTGTGTTCATTTGATTGGCTGCACTTTCTATGGCATTTTTGCCTCCGGCGAGCTGCAGCCCTGGGCCGAGCCGCCGCCTGAGGAGCAAAAGGTGTGGGCACCGCCGGCGGGCGCCATTACCCACGGCGACGATCCCAGCCAGGCGGGTATGATGGGCAACTACATGAAGGAGACGTCATTTGTAAGCCAAGCACGCTATGCATTAGGCAGACTTAATATCCATCTCTCTCTCTCTTCCTCCCTCTCCCTCTCTCTCTCTATCCCCACTCTGCAGGGCGCACCGGAGTACACGGAGCAGAGCCAAATGCAACAATCGAATGCCATTAGCTACGGCGCCACCGGGCACGTGGCCAACAATCCGTTTGCATTGGCAGCGAGCGCGCCCATTGCCGAGGAGCCCGCCCAGCCGAGCGAAGGATACGGCTACACGGACTACACGCAAGGACCGGCGATGCCCTCGACGAATCCCTACGAGCAGCAGGCCTATCAGCAGCAGCAGTAAGCGATAACAAATGGCAGATCAACTGATATACAATTAGCTTTTAGTTATAGTCCGTTTATTGTTTGTTCCTGATGGGGTTGATTTGTATATAAGATATAAAACCGACACACACGCATATAAATATATATCTGAAACTGAAAACGATAATGAACTTCAGGCCGAGTCTAACGAATTTCGATATAGAACAGAAGTCTCACACTCACACAGACACACATGTCACACTAACACAATGAAACTATGTACCTAACAGAGCAACTACATATTGTACGCGTATACAGGACACAAAGGATTACGTTAAACTTGGCCCCCAAAGAGCAAAGCACAAAATCTATAGCCTACTTTTAAGCGTCGCTTGCGCAGAACTCTATTTACAAGCTACAGCAGAATGAGAAACAAATATACATACATATATGAAGACAAATAGAAACTATTATGATAATCGACATTTGTGTATATCATTAAAACCGACATAATCCAGGCACACGCAGCACGTCTCAAATCGTTACGAAATATTATTATAAATAATTTCAAACTAACTATATAGACACTATATAAATAAATATATTATATAATAATAGCGAATTAATTGTTGTTAGCAGTTAATCAATTATAAATAAAAACTGCAAGTTTTTACAATTTACCGTTAATGATATTCAATGTATATGGATAAAGGCGCGACTCTGAAGGTCGTCAATATCTAAGCATTAGTAAATTTTAATCATAAACTTATCTAACTAAGCAATTGTTGATGTTCGGCACGAATGATAAACAAAAAAAGACAGTATACTTCTACTACATTTAACTCATAATTATAAATTATATGACATTTTACATACATACATATATATGCTTTTGGTTTATAGCACGAATCGAGCAATGGCATGATATAGGTACTAAACTCATATGAATTAGCATAGGCCCATAAGCATTAGCTAGCAGTAGGCGCCAATAACCTCAGAATTGGTCTTCATACTGTGCTCTTCAACCTTCAATCTTCATCCAACGATTTTCTTCATATATATATAAAGAATATATATAAGCAAAAACTTCTGCTGGCCTTAAACTTTAACCCTATTTCTTTTTTCCAAAATTTTAATTGTAAGTATTTTAAATTCTTAACTACACACAAATATAATTATTTTAATATATTGAATGTAATATAATTAAAAT